ATTGATTTTAGGTGGTTTTTGTCAGAATTATCTGGCAACACCTTACATCAGTTTTCTTAGAGAATAGTACTAGAAGGAGTCACTGAGGCTCTATACAATGTATGAACGAAATGTTTCTGTCACTAGGGTGAATACGTCAAAAGTATTAAAAAGTAAAAATCTAAGATGGCGGCCGAGTTAGGGTACTTAATTTATGTTGACATTTTTAGGGACTTTTAAAAATTCAATTTTGGGGTACCACTAAACGTTGCAGCGAGTTGACTTCTATAGAGCAATGGAAATTCTCGGTGGGAAATATTACCTGGTCCAAAAAATTTTCCCGATTTTGGGGTAATTTCGAAGAAAAGTAAAAAAACGTGGAATTTTTTTCGTCAATTTGAACAAAACAGTGATAAGCATTGGTCCAAAATTATCCCTCAAAGGGCCCTAGGTGGTTTTTGTCAAAATCTCCTGGCAACACCATACATCGATTTTCATAGTAAACCGTACTAAGGAACTCTTAGGTGTATGTAACCTGGGCTCTGTACAATATATGGATGAAATGTTTCTATCACCAGTGTATATGTTAAAAGTATTTAAAAATAAAAAATCCAAGATGGCGGCCGAATTAGGATACTTTATCTATGATGACAATTTTAAGAACTTTTTAAAATTCAGTTCTGTGGCATCATCCCTGCAACGAATTGACTTGTATTGAGGAATGGAAACTCTCGGTGCGAAGTATTAACTAATTTTCATAGTAAACAGTACTAAGGAACTACTAGGAGTCACCTTAGCTCTGTACAATGTATGGACAAAATGTTTCAATCGCCAAAGTGGATAAGTTAAAAGTATTCAAAAAGGAAAAATCCAAGATGGCGGCCGAGTTCGAGTATTTTATCTCTGATGATAAATTTAGGAATACATTTTGGGGTACCTGGCTTCCCTGCAGCGAGTCGGCCTTTATTGAGCCATGGTAGATTTCGGTTTGAAATATTATCTAGGCTACAAATTTTCCCCGATTTTTAGGTAATTTTGCAAACCCAAAATGTGGGAATTTTTTGTTTCGACATTCTAACATAAGAGTGACGGGGATCTATAATAAATCTCATCTTAATAGTTTCATGCGATTTTTTTGTAAAATTAGGTGGCAACACTAAGCATACATTTCTGTATACTAATACAGAAAGGTAGGTAATGTGAGGTTTTGTATTGTGACCATTGCAATACAAAGTTTCGCCACAGGATGGTACACGTGAAACAAAAATTCACTGTTACAATAGGAAGTCACCTAATCGTATCAAAACAGACAACTCTACTTGCCAACCAAGTCTATTCGAAAAGAAAACCGTCTGCACAAAAAAAATCAACGACAACGCCTCGCGGGCCTCTTGAGGCCCGCGCACACACGCAATGGAAACTCTCAAAATGGAAAAGTAAAAAAACGTGGAATTTTCTTTCGTCAATTTGAACAAAACATTGATGAGCATTGGTTCAAAATTATCCCTCAAAGGGTCCTAGGTAGGTATGAAAATTTACTCCGATTCTGGGGTAATTTAGAAGTCCAAAAAGTGGGAATTTTGTTTTTCTATATATCAAACAAAATAATGATGGATATCTGTCAAAAATCATCCCCTTATGGGTTTTTCGTGGTTTTTGTCAGAATTAGTTGGCAACACCATACATCGATTTCCATTGTAAACAGTACTTAGGAACTACTAGAAGGAGTTACCTTGGCTCTGTACAATGTATGGACGAAATGTTTCTCACCTGAAGATGTATATGTTAAAACTATTTAAAAAGGAATCATTCAAGATGGCGGCCGAGTTAGGGTACTTTATTCCCGATGACAAGTTTAGGGACGTTTTAAAACTCATTTTTGGGGTACTATTTTATTCCTTACAGCAAGTTGACTTCTATGGAGCAAAGACGTGAAGTATTATATAGGCTACAAATTTTCCCCGATTTTTGGGTAATTTTGCAAACCCAATATGTGGGAATTTTTTTTTCGACATTTAAACATAAAAGTGACGGGTATCTATAATAAATCTCATCTAAATAGTTTTATGCATTTTTTTGTAAAATTAGGTGGCAACACCATGCATAGGTTTTCGTAGAAAGTAATATTTACTAAGGATAAATATATCTATCGTCATGTAATATATATGTCAGAAGTATCAAAATGGAAAAATCCAAGGTGGCCGCCGAGGTTGACTTTGAACAAAATTTGAAAGATTTTTTTATTTTGGTACATGGTAACCATGCAGCGAGTCCGCTTTTATGGGATGGTATTGAATCTCAGTATTGCCAGCGCTAAAAACTTTCCCCGATTTTAATATTTATGATATTTTAATTAAAAGAGTGATGAGTGGTTATTATTTATCATAGGTCCTTTACCTACGATAAATAATAACCCTAAGGCTTTATCAAAATTATTTGGAAAACTCCACCGTGGATATCATACAATGAAAGAAATGTATGATATCCACGGTGGAGTTTTCCAAATAATTTTGATAAAAGCCTTAGGGTTATTATTTATCGTAGGTTTATTAGCAGCTAAGGAGACTATCTTGGAATTCATTCCTGCTTTGGTGACTATTCTAAATGATAATCGTTCGTGTAAAAAATACAGTTATTTTTTAAATGTCCTTTACACTAGAAATTTTGGTCACAGATCTATTCTATAATGTATAAAGGTTGGTTAGGTTAGGTTCAGTTTTATGACCTCTACATTAGAAATAGCGACCCCATACTACTATAGTATATAGAAAGTAGGGTTCGGTAGGATTTTGTATTTCGTATTCGGTTAGGCAGTAATATAATGGCCAATTATAATAGAAATTATAGCCACAGATCAATACGGTATGCAGAAGTGAATTATATTAGATTTCATATTCTGTTCTCTACATTATAAACTATGATCACAGACTAATATATTGTTGTTACAATACAAAGTGGCGCCATAAGTCAATACGGTATACAAACAGTGAGTTAGGTTTCGTTTTTTCACTCTTACAATAGGAATTGACTTTTGTGGTATAGTTTCATATCAAAACATGTTTCTGCCAACCAAGATCGAAAAGAAAACCTTCACCATAAAAAAATCAGCTAAAACGACCCACACGCAACCTCGACGGTTTTGTTTTTCTTTATTTCCTTTACAATAGAAATTATGGTCAAAGATATATAGGTATACAGAGGTTAGATTTTGTATTGCTACTCAGTAGTAATTATTGCTTCAGACTTTTAGTATACTGAAAAGAAAGATGAAGTTAGGTCTATAGACAGGAGAATATGGAAATTGTGGTCACAGATCAATAAGGTACACAGAAACGGGGGTTAGGTTAGGTTTCGTATTATGATCTATCTATATATTATGATCTGTTTAAATGTTTAAGTGTGTAACTTTATTGTTTTATATAACCAATTTAAATATAACTTTAATATTAAAGATAAATTCATGAGGTATCTGTTATTGGTTTTACTAACTAAGTAATACTATATATTATCTGTAAATTGTATAAGCTGTTGATTACCTAAAATAAATAAATAAATAAATAAAACTCTACATTAGAAACTGTGAACCCAAATTAATATAGTATACAGAAAGGTAGGTAATGTGAGGTTTTGTATTGTGTCCAGTGCAATAAAAATTAAAGCCACAGGTCGAAATGGCATACAGAAAGATAGGTTAGGTTAGGTTTCGTATTATGATCTCTACATTAAAAACTTTCACCCCAGACTGATATACAGAAAGGTAGGTTAGGTTAGGTTTTGTACTGTGATCATTACAATACAAAGTTTCGCCACAGGATGGTACACGAGAAACAAAAATTCACTGTTACAATAGGAAGCCAACCAACTCTATTCGAAAAGAAAACCGTCTTCACAACAAAAATCAACGACAACGCCTCGCGGGCCTCTTGAGGCCCGCGCACACACGCACCCTCTAGTTGTATATTAATAAAATTGATTATTCTTTTAATACATCATAAGCACATTACTTAATATAAATGTTCTGAGAAATTGAAAATTGTATAATTAATTTTGAAAATTGATAAATAATGCAAATGTTTTCAGACTTCGGGTATGATCTCTCACGAGGGACGCAAATTAAATTTTATGCTCTACGCTGTCAGAATAATTAAGTATATCACGAAGTATTTTGTTAAAATAAAAATATATTTAAAAAATACTGTGCTCAATAATGAAGAGAAGTCTGAAGGAGTAGTAGAGAATACTTTTTGCTGTAAGGCATTAGTATTTCTCCTTTCGCAGCACCTAAATAGTAATTTCTGTCAAATTGTGTAGAGATCTGTATGTCATGTCGAGAGATATCTACGTCAAAAGTAGTTTGGATACTATATTTTAAATTTAGATGTAATATAAAGACTTGGCGTTCCGATATTGTATTGATTACTCTTGTATGTCGAATTGGAATTTTGCTTGTACTACTAATTGTTTCAAAGTGAAATAACGTTAAAATTCTCATACATATAAATAGTTTTTTTATAGAATATTCATAACATGACTGATAATTTTGAACGGATGTTTTATACATAGAAACATCGGTACAAATTTATCTATAGATGATTTTCATAGAGCTCTTTCATTTTTATAATTTGTACGGGTATCTATTCCCCGTACTTGTTTGTAAGGTTGCGGGTGCAGGTGGAAACAAGAAAGACAAGTGTAATTATCCTCTCGAGCAGAGTTCGGTGGTCTGTACTAGCGATGGAAGCGGAATGAATTGTGCCGCGTTCGGCACCTATATTTATACTCCGCCCGCTCGCACCGTGTCACGTACTAGGCAACGATTGTGTTACGCACATAGGTGCGAGCGGGACGGATAGCGCGAAAAAACCACCTCTACTCGCTCCTTTATTTATTAATTTAAACTTTACAATACAATTATATTTAATTCTATCTAGTAGGGAATTGAAACTACTACAATTATAAATTTTATTAAGCTAACAATAATCAAATATGTACAATAGTCGCGAACATATCTCCCGCCGCAGCTAAGCTGTATTTAATTCGAGTTCGCGTTGCTCGATTGGCAGGATTACTAATTTCTTCGTAGGTCGCCGAAGTATCCCCTTGTTAGTGCGCACGTCGACCGCCCGTATTTCACCATCCGGTCCCGGATACGTAGCCACCACCACGCCGCGCGGCCAGGAGTTCCGAGGCAAGTTGCCGTCTGCCAGCAGCACCAAGTCTTCTAACTTGATGACTCCGTGTGTAGCTCGGGGCTCCCGCCGGTGTTGTAGCTGGGGTAAATATTCGGTTACCCAGCGCCTCCAGAAGCAGTCAGCGAGCCACTGACTGGCGCGCCACTCCTTCCTGCCCGCCGTATCGCCCTCAGCGAAAGCTCCCGGCAGTGGTACGCGGGACGGACCTCCCAATAGGAAGTGGTTGGGGGTGAGTGCGTCCTCGTCGTCTGCTGATGTCGACACGTGGGTGAGAGGTCGACTGTTGAGCGTGTGTTCTACTTCCACCAGCAGGGTGAGAAGGACTTCTTCTTTCGGGGCTCGTTCATGCAGCGTTGCGGCCAGCGCGGTTTTCACGCTGCGCACTAGTCGTTCCCAGGCGCCGCCCATGAAGGGAGCGCTCGGTGGTATGTAGCGCCAGCGTATAAAGCGCACCGACGACTCTTCTTCCATGGCTTCAGCGGCTGCTTTCTTCATCTCGAGGTCGGCACCCTTGAGGTTGGTGCCTTGGTCCGACCACAGCTCCGTGGGGCACCCGCGGCGGCTTATAAAGCGCCGCAGAGCCATTACTGCGGAGTCGGTGCTGAGGCTGCCGGCGATCTCCAGGTGCACAGCCCTCGTGGTGAGACATGTGAACAGCACGCCGTACCGCTTCTGATGCGTGCGACCCACCGTCACTGTCATCGGCCCGAAGTAGTCTAGGCCGGTGAAGGTGAACGGCCGCTGATGATGTGCCAGCCTGCTGCGTGGGTGGTTGCCCGTTGATGGTTGTGCTGGTGCTGCTTTCCTGATGCGGCACGTTTGGCATCTCTTCAATTCACTACGAACGGCATGTCGTAGGCGCAACACCCACATGTGTTGACGCACCTCGTTCGCAGTAGTTTCGAAGCCTCCGTGATGAAGTTTTCTGTGCACCCATGCTATGTACAGGCGTACCCATACATGTTGACCGTCGACTATGGGTGGTTCCCGTTGCTCCGCGGACAGATCGACGGCAGCCGACACCCTTGAGCGGAGTCGCAACACATTGTCTTCGTCGATGAAAACGGACAACTGTATAAGTCGACTACTCGACGACAGTTGTTTATTGCGTCGCAACGCCGTTATATCGATGCTGAATGCCTCTTCTTGTATTGAGCGGATCCATAGTCGACGGGCGCGTTCTAAGTAGTGTGTATCTATGGGTATATAACACACAGGCGCACGTACGTTTTTTCTTTTCGACGGTTCTGGTTTTCTTATCTTGTTGCTTCGCCACGTGGGATCGTCTTCATGTTTTTTGTTTCTCTTGTGGGTAGCGACGGCGCAGTGTTGCTTGAGTGGTCGCAATTTATTTATAAATTGCAATACGCGGGCCGTACTGCGGACGATCTTCATCCAGTCGGAGAATCGCGCGGGATCGGGCAACGCTCGAGATAATCGTGTTGCATCTTGTATTGTGTGGGCGCGCTCTTCGCTTGTATTTTCCGTATGGTGGGAATCGCCTTCATGAGGCCACTCTTCTTCTGGTCGATATAGAAACTGCGGCCCCCGGAACCATCTGTGTGTTGAAGTGAAATGGTATGGTACGTCGCGTGTGGCATCATCCGCGACGTTGTCGGCCGTCGGCACCCATCTCCACTCGTTCGTTTTCGTATCTTCCATAATTTCAGCGACTCGGTGAGCGACGAAGGGCTTGAATGCACGCGGCCCGGTGCGTAACCAAGACAGTACGGTACGCGAATCCGACCAGTAGACACGACGGGCAGGTTTCAGATCGTGTTCTTCGACAGCCGTGCGTGACAGGCGGCTCCCTAGTACGGCCGCTTGCAGCTCCAGACGTGGTATAGTGGTGACCTTGTTCAAAGGGGCCACTCTTCCCTTGGCTGCGATGAGTGACACACGCACCTCGCCGGTCACGCATACGGCCCGCCAGTATACGACACAGGCGTATGCATCTGAGCTCGCGTCGACGAATGTGTGAAGCTCCGTCGTATGTGCCGTCGCCACACCGGGGTAACACCGTGGTATTACCAAGTGGGGTAACTGCTGTGCGTGCGATATCCAGCTCCGCCACGCTGCTGCTTCCCGTTCTTGCAGTTCGGTGTCCCAGCCGATACCCGTGCGCCACGTTTCTTGTAATATCTTCTTGGCTTGTATTGTGACGGGTGTGGCCAGGCCCAATGGGTCGAACAGCGACATAACGGCGCGGAGGGCTTCTCTCTTCGTTGGGGTGCGTTCGCCTCGTATGATGTGTAACGGAAGTTTGTTCCCGTTGAAGTTGAACCCGAGACTGTCTTCCTCAGGCCGCCACACCATTCCCAGTATCTTCTCAGCGTCGAGTTGCACCATGTTCTCTTCATTTCTATGTGAGAACTCTTCTCGTACATGGCGCGAGTTCGATGCCCAGCGCTGAAGATAGTAGTTCGCCCGGCTGTGGATGTAGGCGACCTCGCTTGAGACTCGTACGGCTTGCTCTTCAGTGTCGAAGCTAGCGAGGTAGTCGTCAACATAGTGATTGACAACCACCGCTGCAGCCGCCTCCGGGAACTCTTCTTTATGTAGTTCGGCGTTCTTGTTCTTCACGTATATCGCCGTGCATGGCGACGAAGTGGCCCCGAAGATGACGCTCTTCATCCTATATTCGACAGCTGGACCCTGGCGTCGATCTCCTCTCCATAGAAACCGTTGCATGTCTCGGTCTTCTTCTCGTATTGTGACACGCATGAACATATCCTTGATGTCCGCTGTGACCGCCACACGGCGCTGTCGGAACCTCATGAGGACCCCAGGTAGTGATTGGAGTAGGTCGGGTCCCGACAGCAGCATGTCGTTGAGACTAATGCCCCTTGTCTTGGCGGCGGCGTCGTGCACGATGCGCAGCTTGTCCGGTTTCTGTGGGTTGATGACAGCGAAGTGTGGCAGGTACCATACTCGTTCAGTCTTCACCGGTGGGGCGATTTCTGCATATCCCCTTTCTAACAGCGTGGTAATTTGCTGTTTATATCTGTTCTTCATGTCTTCATTCTTGTCGAGTTTTTTCTCAATTAACTCGAGGCGTCGCATTGCTGAGTCGTAGTTAGCCGGCGGCGTTGCGTTATCGCGTTTCCATAGCAACGCGGTCTCGTAGCCTCCCGCCGGTAACGGGCGAGTTTTTTCTTGCAATATTTTCAGCGCGCGTTGTTCCTCTTCATTGTATGAGCGCTTCGGTGTAACGCCCAGTGATTCGAGAGCGAAGTGTTCTTTCATTAATCGCTCTATGGATTCTTCATTTTCTTGCCCGTCGACTAAGTGACTGATTCTGTGCACTTGCTGTCTCGCTCTCGCCGCTCCCGTGCCGTGCAACACCCAACCCAGGTCGGTGAGTGATGCGACCGGTTGTGTCTTACTGCCTCTTCTGACTTCATGTGCGAGCAGCAAATGCCAGTTGTCTTGACCCAGCAGAACCGTCGGTTGACCTTCTTCATATGTCAGCTGATCTATTATATCGTACAAGTGTGGACAGTCTTCTATTGTGCTGCGTGATACTGTTTGTGGAGATAACAGTAGTTTCTTCATGGTTCGCGCAGACACGGCATGATCTTCCGATCTTCGTCCCCGTATTGTGAAGTGGACAAGCTTCGATTCATCGGCGTTTATACGTGTCCCGGCCACGGCCTCTATGTAGAAGGGTGCGGGAGGGCCAGTGGCGCCGATTTGCTTCGCTGTTGCTTCTTCGATGATGGTGCACGTTGCGCCGTCGTCCAGGAGTGCGTATGTATCGCACGTTCCTTTGGGACCGATCACTTGTATCGGCACTATCTTGAGGAATGCGATCTTCTTATCTTCTCTCGCAGACGCGACGACTGCGGCTGCTTTATCATCGGAGGGCTCGCTGTCCTTCTTCTCTATAGTGTCGACGTGCAGGAGTGGGTGATGTAGGTGTGTACACCCACCAACGTTGCATCTCTTCGTCTTGCAGTTGTGACGAAATCTTTTTATCCTCAGGCAACGGAAACATAGCCTGTGTTTTTTTGCTATCTCCCATCTTGCTTGTGGCTCGGCGTTCTTCACAGTGATGCAATCGGGTGGTGCGTGTCCCTCCCTGTTGCACGTCGGACACGGCGGTGAAGTCGGTTTCTCCTGCGTGATGTATGTTTTCACGCTTCTCTTCGTTGCTGGCTCCCGCCGGTCTTCATTTACTATTATTTCGGCGGGTGCGAAGTCACCGCACCTGGCTGCGGTGATTTGCAGGAACTTGGAGAGCGTTATCAGGTCCGGTTGATCAGCTGGCTGTTCTGCTACGAAGTCGTAGTATTTGAATCGTAGCGCAGAAGGCATCTTCTCCGTGATGGATCTTGTCACTTCTTCGTTGTACAAATAGTGGTTCTTCTTCAGGGCTTGAATTGTTGCAGTGACATTGGCTATTCTGGATGCGAATAGACAGATGTCCTTGGGGTTGTCTGACAGCCGCGGCAGCGCACGAAGTTTATTCATCTCGGCCATCACGAGTGCTCCTGGACGGCCGAACCTCGTAGCAAGTAATTGTATTACTTCTGCTGCAGACGTATCCCCGACGAAAAGACAGTGTGCAGCCTCTTTGGCCGCACCCTTTAAACACCGACGTAATCTACCCAAGTTTTCTTGCTCGGTCAGCTGCCCCGCAGACTCTTCGTAGGCCATCTTCCAGGGCAGCCATTCGCTTGACGCGCCGTTGAAGGGTGGTAGTTCTGTGACTCGCGGCACTGTGGAAGGCTGAATTGCGCGAGCTGCCATAGTCATTGCAGTCGCCAATTCCTTATAGTCGATGCCCCCCTTCAGTGAATCCTCTTCTTTCTTCGTTGGCATCATTGGTGCTATGGAGTCTTCCCTCGGACCGTTGTGGCTTGCATGGTCCCGTCGGAATGCGTCGCTGCACGGCTGCGGCTGCGGCGCTTTCGTTCCCTCTCCGGCGGGTATCGATGAGATATTAATCCCCTGATGCAAGTCGGCGGTCGTCCTCTCTGTGTGCGGCTCCATTGTGAGTGCCAATGTGCTCGTCCGGCGAATCCAGTCCGTAGTCCTCTCTCTTCTTAATGTGGCGGCGTCCTCTTCATTTTCGTCCTCCTCTTCGTCGTCCGTGTCCGCCTCCAATGCTGCGACGCGTGCGGCGGCCAGTTCTACCTCCTTGCGTAGCAATTCTTCTCTGGCTTTAGCCAATTCTTTCTTCTTTTTTGAAGCTGTGGTGCGCGGCGCCCTTGGAATTGTTGTGGTAGTCTCCGCAGAAGTCTCCGCGGAAGTCTCCGTGGTAGCAGTAGGTTCCGAGGACGTGTACGTCGTGGTGGTCGACGTAGTGGCGGCAGCAGGCGACGTAGTGGCGGCGACGGTCGGCGTGGCGGCGACAGGCGACGTGACGGCGGCGGTGTTTTCTTCGTTTGATTGAGCTTCCATGGCTGTTCTTTGGCTTCTTGTTGTTGGCATCTGTGATCTTGATCTCTGTGCAGTCTTGCTTTCTTCTTCCAACAATCCGGCTTCTCGAAGGACCAGATGTACGGGTATCTATTCCCCGTACTTGTTTGTAAGGTTGCGGGTGCAGGTGGAAACAAGAAAGACAAGTGTAATTATCCTCTCGAGCAGAGTTCGGTGGTCTGTACTAGCGATGGAAGCGGAATGAATTGTGCCGCGTTCGGCACCTATATTTATACTCCGCCCGCTCGCACCGTGTCACGTACTAGGCAACGATTGTGTTACGCACATAGGTGCGAGCGGGACGGATAGCGCGAAAAAACCACCTCTACTCGCTCCTTTATTTATTAATTTAAACTTTACAATACAATTATATTTAATTCTATCTAGTAGGGAATTGAAACTACTACAATTATAAATTTTATTAAGCTAACAATAATCAAATATGTACAATAGTCGCGAACATAATTTTTGTGACCATTTTTCTTAGAGTAAAGAGTTTGAGAAGATTAAAGATATTATAGCAGGTTATTGATATTTCGAACAAGTTCGTATATGAATTTATTCTGTGTAGCGAGGCTAAATAGCTCGGCACGGCACGCTCTTTGATATGAACCATCGGCGCAGAAATGGTCCGCGCCCAAAGAGTGAATAACCGAATCGAGGAAGGCGGTTAAATTGCCCGCGACTCTTTCATCGGTTGAATGCGTAACGAGTTGGTTTGTGCTCTACTATGGAATCCAGAATATGGTCGACTAGTACGAAACACTCCTCATTTACTAGCTGTTACTCGAGACTTATCAGCGACCTACAGCGACACGACTAATGGTTACTCAGGCAACTCTTTAGTGTAGATTCGTCCGAGTATTATCGAATATTGAGTGCCTCGGTGGTCTAGCGGTTTAGCACACCGCTTTACTTCCAATGGCGCGACCATTGGGTTTGATATAATTTCAATTATTTCATATAATAATAATAAAGTTAATTTCTTTCGAAGAGCAATAAAGTTGTTTATAAATAATGCTTAAAATAAATATTTTAGAATGTTTGAAATGATATAAATAATTTCTCTAATTTCTCTCTAATCTTTTTTTATTCTATCGTTCATTCGGAACGCAGACTCATCTCGGTACGATTATCGAAATTAAAGTGTGCTGCTATAATGCGAAAGTAGTTCACAAAAATTATCGATCACTACTTGCATTACGTCATTAATGGTATTCTCTAGGCTCGACCTTAATTGCCATTTGATATGTCAAATTGTTAATTGACATACTATGCATGCCTATTATATAGTACCTATATACATATATCTAGTTTCCTTACACGCTGTAGGTACCTGATGCTTTAACGAGTTGTTAATTATTTTAGTTCTTATTGGTCTTCGTCCTTTTTTATTAGATAAAAATTGGTCTATATTCACTCTCGCAATGCAATTTATTAAATTTTATTAAATTAAATTTCATTCAAGATTAAATTTCATTTGCCTCCGTTTAGTCGTTTATATTAAACCTTAAACTATAGTACATTTGGTGGATTTAACGCCATGCGGCATTTTCTACCACGTCAATAGATGGTGCTAAGAACAATTTAATCTTAAAAACGACAGACACATCCTTTTTTAAATATTTCTAGTTGATCTAGATTTGATATCTCCTTCTATCACTAACACGTCAACCAAACCACAGACACACTTTCAAATCAAATGAAAACTAATTTATTAATATAACATTTCAGCTGCTTCTAAACATCAAATTTTTTGTATTACAATTATTGTTTTCAAATTGATAGTATTAGTATTGATTTACTATACTATATTATGTTTAACAATACGACTACGTAGCTATTCGGTATTATGCTTTATTATCTCATGAGTAATGTGTGAATCTTCAGATACATTGGGTAGAGACAACCTTGACCATAAAATCACACCTTGACTCGATTGGCGTTCACGATATATTAGCGCCATCTGTCCAACATAGTTTTGATACCTTAGTACTATTTTTCAACCGATTGTCAAAAGATTCTCAATTCATTATTTGTTTGAGATGTTACACGAACTTTTTCTATATCTGAATTCCAATTATTCTTTTTGCTATTTATTTACCTTGAAGTATAATCGTAGTAATAACAAATGTCTTTAAGGTTTAATGATGAGTTTTCCTGTTCTGTTTTATTACTAAAATTTAGATAAAGGTAATAGGCCCTTTTATGGGAATGGGCATTAAATTCTACAATATGATAACGAAAGATATTTTAGTTTTTATTAATTAATAGGTATTAATAAATTCAAAAATATTATTAACTGAATAAAGTTTTAAAATAAATTTACCTCGTATAATATAATATTATAAATTTAATTTTTTTCTTGTCGTAAGTTGTTCAGACATGGGATTTTAGATATTTTATAAGAGATTGAAACTGATGAACTTACATTATATATATTAATTTTCTTAAAAAGAAAATTAATATATATAATGTAAGTTGCGTTTCTTGATTTTTTGACTGAAGTAGCTAGTATATTACCTACTTGCAAAAATGTTGTATATGTTTAAATGATTTTTTACTTTTATTGTGGGATTTTCTCTTATTCGCTGTACACTGAATTGCATTGTATTAAACAAAGATTAACTCAATTTATCAGTGCAGTAAGCGTTATCATATCAAGAGTCTTATTATTAGTAATGTTCCTTTTTAATTGAAGATTAAACTACAGAATATGGAAGCCTACCTTCTCATTGCTGGTATTTAAAAAAAGATATCAAACCGCCTCGTCAATATTATTCTCATTAACTTTTCTTATAAAATACGTCCGTGATTCCTCACAAATACCTATAAATTATTATTTCCTCACGGTACAACCGTATCGACAGAATTTATAAGTATGCTTCAAATTACTCGCCTACAAAGCACTTTAATGGGATATTTCAAGAATCCAAAATCGTTTAGCGAATTTATACAGATCAAAGGAGCCGATTTCAATGACAGAGCAAATTTGCAGTATACAATACTTGCAGTTATTATAGGAATTGTACCAAAGAATCTTCTAGATTATTCTGGGAAATCCGAGGTGTCACATGATTTATATTGTATACAGTCGGCAAAAATTCCAGCCATCTGTTCAATGTTATTTTTATCTGTTGTGATCTAGTTTCGCGAGCTTGGTTATGCTATTTATTACTTCGCAAATGCTCTCATATTTAAAAAAATCAAGCTATTTCTATTCGTTAAATTGTTCATTAAGTCTGAATTTATTTGATCACTGATTAAATAAAAGATTCTTAGAATATATTTGAGGCTTGCTGAGGTGCCTGCTAAATCAAAGTATATCGGACAACACAAAATACAAGATAAGTGGCATTGTCGAGGACTATGGTTTTGTCTCCGTACCCAGTAGTTAATTAATTCACTGGTATATTTTCCACATATGTACTCGTAAGAATCCATGTTATATCATCCAGTATTGTACTTCCGATAGACTCCGCGTTTAGATAGTTTTTTTTTAAATATATTTTTATAGCGATTGTTTTTATAATAATGTTTTTATAAAAATGTCTGTATTTTGAAGAGGAATATTTAAAAGAATAACGTTTACTTTACCAAGGAATGTCTCACTTTGATACAGTTCTTCGTGACACTTCGTGTCAATATAGAAGAAATGAGTTAAAAGTAATGATTGTTTAGTATTAAACACGATGATTAGGTAAAAAAGATTATTAATAGTCTACATAGTTTTTTTGACAAAGTATTTACTTCATCTGTCTTCTATACCCAGAATTCTTTGATTCTCTAGAATAGAAATCTTTGTCTTAACCGTCGGAAAAAGCTTCTACAGCTGCCATCACTTCACTATCGTCTTCGAGCTGAAAAAAGAGATAGAAGTCACTGTTCACATATTTACGAGTTGTTCAAATAAATCAAGATTATAAGATATATATTTGCAATATTCAAACATACATATAAAACTTCATTCATTTAGGCATGCCGTGGCAACGAGTAATTAAGTCAACACCATATTTTTTTTTTACTTGGAGAAAATCCCTCACGGAGACCCGCCGGCCCCGGGGGAAGCCCGCGGGTACTGTGAGACTCCTACTCACTAAAAACTCCAAGGTATCCCGACGAAGCGTCTATAGCCACCTCAACTTCTTGCAAGGGATAATAATTGTAACTTCATAGTGTGTCTTGTTGGTCGCTCAAATAATAAATATTAAAGTAGTCACTGCCTACTATATTATGTTGTGTACAATATATATTTGGTATACTTTTACCGACACGGGCCGTCTGAAATTGACACGTATACGATAGTTTGGCAACTGATACTGTATCGAGACAATTAACGTCACCATACAATACGATAAGCGTAATGTGTTTCGTTATCGGTGACGTGTGCGATTCATTTTGTACAATATGCGGACTGCATATAATTAAGCGATATTATAGTTAAAATAGTTTAAATGATGGCTGGCTCATCCGTCATACTCGTGAACGGGTTCTGCTTATGGGGATTGGTCTGTTCGGGTTACCAACACTGATTATACTATTTGTTTCTGCAATATGCATACTAGCATATGCATATTGCAAAAACAAATGGTATAATATAATAATAGGTCACTCAATTCTCCCAAATTTGATTTTAAAAATGAATCTGTATTATTGTAAACATGTACAACTTTTGAAAAGAATACTGAACACAAGAACTGAGTTTCTTGTCAGTTCTTCACATCTCGAAATCATTCAGAACTGACGGTAGATTTGACATCATAATAATCGGTAATGAAAAAAGATATTTTGAAATTGAATTTATTATGCAACGCGGCCGTTCAATGAACGTCACGCCATTGTCTTTTGATTTATATTTAAATGTACAAGACGCTTACATCAACGTTTGTACGTGATTAACTTTTATTCATTTACGTCAATACATAGTTCAAGCGATATATCTATTTTTAAATTTACGACCGCGATCTAAGGTCGCCCTTGTACCTGTAAGTTTTACTAAGTGTGCAAAGCTTACGTAAATAAGTTGCTGTGCTTGTGTGTACAGAAAATTACTATCAATTAA